GGATGTGTGGGGTGTGGGGAGGATGTGGGGTGTGGGGAGGATGTGTGGGTGTGGGGATGTGTGTGGGGTGTGGGGAGGATGTGTGTGGGGTGTGGGGAGGATGTGTGTGGTGTGGGGAGGATGTGTGTGGGGTGTGGGGAGGATGTGTGTGGGAGCATGTGTGTGGTGTGGGGAGGATGTGTGTATGTGCGTGTGTGAGGTGTGGGGGAAGATGTGTGGGGGTGTGGGGAGGATGTGTGTGAGGGTGTGGGGAGGATGTGGGAGGATGTGTGAGGGTGTGGGGAGCATGTGTGGGGTGTGGGGGAGGATGTTTGTGGAGTGTGGGGAGGATGTGTGTGGGAGGAATTGGGAGTGCGGAGTGGTTGTAAAGATTACACCCCTACACACACACACACACACACAGGTAACAAGAGGATTATTAATACTAGGTGATGAAAGAATAGAAGAGGTATAGAAGAATAAGGAAGATATGATAAACATGAGAAGAAAGGATAAGTGAAAAGGAAAACGGGACGACAATTCACACTTACTGGACAAAATACAAGTCCACTGAAATGACTCGCACAATTACTACACCATATACCTGTATCTAAGTTTTTCTGCCCAAGGTTATTTTTGAGTGTGTGTTTCAGACTAAATTATGATGACCTCACAAGTAAAGGCTAAATACGTGTTATGGACGACCGAACTGAACGACGATTCCCTACAACGTTTGACCAGGAACCAACGACCCAATGAGACCTGTGAGGAGACTAACAGTGTACTAAAACAACATGGTGGAGGAACGCCAAGAACATCGGAGGAAGAATGTTGAACCCACACAGGCTGCCATCGGAGGAAGAATGTTGAACCCACACAGGCTGCCCTCCACAGAAACATAAGGAAGTCCATCCGCCGCTCCAGCACCGAACTGTAAATTCCACGTTCAACTGTGCATTAAGTAGTGCGTATACGGCTACAGCTCTACACACTAAGCTTCAACTGGTTCAGCGTCTCAGAGTGGATGATCATATCAAATGGAGAAATTATACCATGCTCGTGTGCCACAGTCTGAACAACACCCTGAGTACGCGAGCTGATGTGTCATGTTCTCCGGCGGGGCAACATACACACACTATTCTGGGCGGGTTATAGACGATCTTGGCGTGATGTAAACAGTATGGGCGGGTTATAGATGATGTGGGCGTGATGTAGACAGTGTGGGTGGGTTATAGACAGCATGGGAGTGATATAGACAGTATTGGCGTGATATAGGCAGTCAAGGCGAGACATAGACAGTGTGGGCGGGATATAAACACTGTAGGCGTGATATAGACACTGTGGGCGTGATATAGACACTGTGGGCGTGATGAAGACACTGTGGGCGTGATCATGTATGACTATAGGAAGGGAAGATTAAGGATAGAATCAAAGTAAAACAATATTAAAACAAATATCTCAATGCAATGATTTATGGAATGCTTATATGACGAGCCCCTGTAAACGCACAAGTGAAGGGGACTGTCCATGTACTGTATTTGCACTGAGTCGAAGAGTTCTAATTAAGCCATATATATTAATGTGGTTATTATAGCAATTAACTTTCAATTATTTCGTTCTGGTTAATACTATGTCTGGTAATAAACTCACTAATCAGCTACAGTGGTAATTAATCTCTTAGTCTCAAACGAGCTAAGGTAATTCGCGAGATAATTTCCTTATATCTAGCAATAATTCCCCTCAACGCCGCCAGAAAGGTCTCGTAGTAATTATCTCGTGTTATCTCAGGTGTAAGTGGTGACCGCGATGACTCTCCAGCTTAAACAATTTACTGGACTTAGTGTGTATATGTGGAAGTGTGTGTGTATGTGGAAGTGTGTGTGTATGTGTATGTGTGTGTGTATGTGTATGTGTGTGTGTGTGTATGTATGTGTATGTGTATGTATGTATGTGTGTGTGTGTGTGTGTATGTGTATGTGTATGTGTATGTATGTGTATGTGTGTGTATGTGTGTATGCTAGTCTTTGTTCTAACCTGGCCTCCCTACTCTTCCAGTCCAGCATGAAAACATTATAACAACATCCACATCTAATGTTTATCCTCGTATGTTATTCTGAACATTCATTACTGTCAAGGTAACTCAAGCTTACATGAATCTGTTTATTCCAAGACTGAAATTCCTACACTTCGAGACGGCAAGTCGAAGGTCAAGGCTCTAAACCTAACAGCTTCTGGTTAAATGGGTCCCAACCTATTCTAACCACCAATAGTGGGACTCCTTGGAACTCTGGCTCGTTAGAACTTGATCTAAAACTTAAGGATTAGATCAAGTTAGGGTAGGTTAGGTTAGGTTGGGGCCCGGAAGGACAGAGTACCATCTAACTACTATCTGGTGTCTAATGACGATCGAGACGCCTTGAAGCACATTGAATTAGTTAAGATGACAATCACCTGTGTACAACTTGGACTATTATACAGTAATAATTTGTAAGCTGTAAAACTAATAACACGTTTACTGTCACATAACTAACACCAAAATGTAGTTATATTTGTTCAAGCTATCACGTTTACATTGTTCCTAACGTACACGAGACCACAGGGACAGACAAAGGAATACTACAGTAGTTCTCTATCTTCCATCGTGCAGGAGGAAAACACCCCAAGCAAAACAAGAAGTTAAACTAAACAGTATAATCCCTAACGAGGCTACAGGTACAGCCTATGTTCCTCGATAATTCATAATACAAGTTTATACAATCGTTTCATTTTGTATTTATCATAACGTAGATATTTATTTTTAATCTACATAATCATTCAGGAGTGATCACCATAGCCTCCCCCCACCCCTCTGTGTACGCGTTATTTTCATAAGTCTACTCTCAACCCGTAAAATTTTCTTCAATAAGCATCAAAGAAAATGTGTTATTATTACTGAGTAGCTATATTATTTCACTCACTGTTAGTAATATTTTTAAACGTAATAAATACATCTATGTAAACAGTTTGTATGCTGGTCTGGATATTTGACTGATATCTGGTGTTTTAGAACTTGGGTTGGGTTAGGTAAGGACTCACTGGACTCACTAATGATTTAATTCACTGTTTTGCTTATCTCAGCCATCATCACCGTCAACACTTATAAACAAACAAGGTAAATATAAACAACAATAGCGGGTTCAACCTTCACTCTGGTAGTTTACAACCCTCTAAGACAAACCAACCCTAACCTAACCTAACTCTCCAAACCTTAACTTAACCTAACATAACCTAACCTAACTCTCCAAACCTTAACCTAACCTAACATAACCTAACTCTCCTAACCTAACCTAACATAACCTAACTCTCCTAACTTAACCTAACCTTACCTTACCTAACTCTCCTAACCTAACCGAACCTAACCTTAACCTAACCTAACCTCAACTGAGATACTGAGTCATAATTCACCACACATACGCAGTGCTTATGTATTTCCATGCAAATTCGACCATTCAGGGCCATGCGATTCTTACTAGGGATTTAGATAGATAGATAGATAGATAGATAGATAGATAGATAGATAGATATTCAGTAAAATTATCAAAATGTTCACAAATTGATTGACGTGTATATAGAAATTCAGGTATACAATTCAGCATGCATATAGAAAAACGCAGGTATACAGTACTTCACTAGTGCGTTAACAGGGGTTTGTTTACATTCGACAGAAGGAAACTCACAATAGTAAACATAAGGAATCAAAGTAAAACAATAATAAAACAAATATCTCAATGTAATGATCTGTGGAATGTTTATCTGACGAGCCCCTGTAAACGCGCTAGTGAAGGGGACTGTTCCTAGACATAGTAGACAGTGGATACACAATGGTAAACAGCTGGGCAGTTTGACGAGGGTTACCCAACAATGTCATCAGATACTTATTTCCAGTAAGGTCGTTTGTTTATAGTAATTACCATTTCCATCCTTTATCAACTTACTAGCTGGTCCGAGTCAGTCACTTCTCGGTTATACATTGTGTAATGAAGTGACAAATGAACAGACCACACCACACCCCCATCCGCCTCCTCGTGGAGATGGGATGGCTCCTCGTCCACAGTAGTCCTGGGTTCTGTTATTCTGTACCGTGGGTCACATTGTGGTAGTTATTGTTCCACTATGGCAACATTTTCTAGTCAGGTTCCATGTATCGAAATTCCGTACACTATTTTGGTTTAATTAGCTTCTAAACAACAAACTGTAAGACCCTTCACTGGGACCTGAACGGTTGATGAGGAACAAGACTTAGGCGTCGTGACAGACCCAACACTGACAGATTACCCAAGCAGACTGGGGGCCTTAGGACTGACAACACTCCAGACAAGACACAACGGGGCTGATTTCATACATTCAAAACCTCGCAAGGGCTGGAAGACATAAACCCAGATCAATTTCTCATTATATCACAAGTTCTAATACAAAAGGACAACTACAATATCGTCAAAGTGTCAGGCAGTACTTCACACAAAGGGTGTTGGACCTATGGAACAGTCTACCAGCACAACCCGTGGAAGAGAAAATGGCCCTGGACATGGCTATCAAGAACAATGGAGGAATCCTACAAAGGCCACAGGTCTGATTCCCCCCGTTTTGGCCACTTGAAGGTTGGGTGGCCTGCACGTGTCTTGGTCCTGATGTCTCACGGTGGTGTTCTGTTTCTGGAGGTGCACATTTTATGGTGATGTATGTGTTCTAGTGGTGCACGTGTTCTGGTGCAACACACGTGCTGCTGGTGCAGGTATGCGAGTTAAACGTGTTCGAGTATTACACGCGAGCTATAGTGTTATAAGAACTCATTTAACAGGTTACAATGTAAACACAAATATAACCTATTTTAACCAATAAGATTGTGGCCTATTCCTAATGAGCCACAATCAAAATGGTTAAGTTAAGGTCTATTAAGATTGATGCCCAGCTGACCTGCGCACGGTGCCTACACCACAGAGAAACCTGCCGCCGAGACCCAGACTCACGGGAGGGGACACGAGCTTAGGGCAGCCTCCCTCAGCTTTTATAAATTCAGTCGCCACTGGAACACGAGAAGGGAAGGACGTGCGCCGAGCAGCTCCTACACCCAACTACTGCTACACAAACTTGCATTACGTATTTCAACAACACATTTCACTACGCTGGATATACGTAAATAAGATCTAATCAATTATACTATATCTCTTAATTATGTCATCGAAAAAAGTGATTAAGCAATATTAAACGACTAAGACACTAATTAAAACTTATTCTGACGACAACAAACTGAATCAAGTAACGAATAGAAAAAAAATTCACACTACGGAACTTGTCTCTCGGTGCCTGCAGTAAACAAACACAGTACAGCGGCCGGTGAGAGTGTGTTGAGACAGTGACATGACCCAAGTGTGTTCTACCCACCTCACCTCACTCACCTAACATGTCCACACTTCTCTTCTTCGCTTGTATTATAGGTAAGTCATATCTAACCCACACTAGCATCTACGAGTTTTAATTAACCCATATTAACCCACACTAGCGTCTAAGAGTTTTAATTAACCCACACTGGCATCTAAGAGTTTTAATTAACCCACACTACATCTAAGAGTTTAATTAACCCACACTAGCATCTAAGAATTTTAATTAACCCACTCTGGCATCTAAGAGTTTTAATTAACCCACACTGCATCTAAGAGTTTTAATTAACCCACATTAACCCACTCTGGCATCTAAGAGTTTTAATTAACCCACATTAACCCACTCTGGCATCTAAGAGTGTTAACCTCACAATAACAAGATATATCACACAGTATCTAAGAGAAACAGTGTTAAGAGAGTGACCACACAAAGCCACACTAGTTAGTTTGTTTGTGGGGGACGGCGTTAGTCTAAAAAAATCCTGACCTTTATCTGTCTCCTGGTTAAAATAGCAATCGGTAGGTGAAAGGGTTTAATTTGGACGAAGACTTTACACCTGTATACCAACACACCTGCACAGTATACCATCACACCTGTACAGTATACCAACACACCATCACACCTGTACAGTATACCAACACACCATCACACCTGTACAGTATACCAACACACCATCACACCTGTACAGTATACCAACACACCTGTGTACCATCACACCTGTAGACCAACACACCTGTACAGTATACCAATACATTTGTACAGTATACCAACACACATGTATACCATCACACCTGTACAGTATACCAATACATCTGTACAGTATACCAACACACCTGTACAGTATACCAACACACCTGTGTAATAAAAGGGCCGCCCACACATGCCTACACCTACGAGAGGTAATAAAAGGGGCGCCCACACATGCCTACACCCACGAGAGCACGACTATCGACCGTTATGAGAACTGACCGGGATGTTTATAGCCCCGGCCTTCAGACCAGATGACCCAATTGGTCACTCTCAAGGAAAAACTGATATAAGCCTGGGATAACTCATGACGTGACTATGACCAGAGCGTGAACTAACCAATGAGAAAAAGGGAGCCAGGAGAATCTTTGAAAAACACGGGCTCTAATTGGTCACTCAGAATGTGTTCTCAGCGGCTGGTGAGCAGTGTTGGAAATACAGGCAGTTTAGCATTGGGTGCGATTTAGTGTGGCGGTTTGTGGGTGGGCCTGAGGAGTGATAATGTGTATTAAATGTGGGTTTTTTCTGTAGTAGTACGAGTGTATAGTGACCCCCCCCCCCTGACATTATCTCTAGATTGGAATAGGACAAACACATGTAAGGTCATAATTATCACGTGTTTGATGAATAAATTTAACTTGGAAAACATCTCTTCAGGTCTACCATTAGACAACATATTATGCTGCCAATATCTTCCCAGGCGGTAGTACCTCCCTGTTTGGTAGCTGCCTACTACCTAGCTGCTAGTTATGCAACCTTGACCCCTAAACAAGTTATATTCTCAAACCTAACCTAACCTGTTTTAATGACCTAAGTTAAATACACAGCGGTGAGTGTTTTGTCCATCGACTTGATCTTGACGGAGAGAAGTTAAAGTGTGTATGTTTGTATGTGTACGTACGTTTGTATGCTTCCATGGACGGACTTATGTATGTATGACCTTGGCTAAATGACCCCTTAATGTGGTTTAATTGGGATCGGACTGGTTGTTAGATTTGGTCCTATATGTCTCTTGTAGATTTCACAGGTATTTTAATTTGGATTATTCTTTTTCGCAAAATTTAAAAATAAATAATGTTTATTTTATTTTGTTAAAAGCCAAATAAGACGATGATTTAACCCTTTGACAACGATGATTTAACCCTTTGACGACGATGATTTAACCCTTTGGTGATGATGATTTAACCCTTTGACAACGATGATTTAACCCTTTGATGATGATGATTTAGCCCTTTGATGATGATGATTTAACTCTTTGACAACGATGATTTAACCCTTTGACGACTATGATTTACCCTTTGACAACGATGATTTAACCCTTTGACGACGATGATTTAACCCTTTGGTGATGATGATTTAACCCTTTGACAACGATGATTTAACCCTTTGACGACGATGATTTAACCCTTTGGTGATGATGATTTAACCCTTTGACAACGATGATTTAACCCTTTGATGATGATGATTTAGCCCTTTGATGATGATGATTTAATCCTTTGACAACGATGATTTAACCCTTTGACAACGATGATTTAACCCTTTGATGATGATGATTTAGCCCTTTGATGATGATGATTTAACTCTTTGACAACGATGATTTAACCCTTTGACGGCTATGATTTACCCTTTGACAACGATAATTTAACCCTTTGATGATGATGATTTAACCCTTTGACGGCTATGATTTGGCCTTGTGATGATGATGGTTATCTTGCGAGCAACGATGAGTTTAACCTTTGACGACTACTGCTGAGTTGCCTTTGACAACGATGAAGTTTAGCCTTTGATGATGATGATTGAACCGGCACGATGATGATGATTTTGCCCGCTTTGATGATGATGATTTTAACCCGCTTTGATGATGATGATTTAACGCTTTGTTGATGATTTAACCGCTGATGATGATAGTTTAACTCTTTGAGCAACGATGGTTAACCTTTGGCCTTCTGAGTTTACCTTTATTAAACGATGATTTAACCCGCGGTGATAGTGGTTAACCCGCTGACGATGATGGTTTAACCCTTTAATGATGATGATTTTAACGCTTGACAACGATAGTTTAACGCTTGACATTGTTAGTTTAACCTTGGCGACGATGATTTAACGCTTTGGTGATGATAGTTTAACTTCATTTTGTCGACGATATTGCCAGCTTCAGACCTCAAAGGTTCATTCTGATGTATGGCTCATGTCTTCAGTGTTGGAGCATAATTTTACGTTACTCTATATGTTGCAAAATTCAATGTGAGAGGGCAAGCCACCTGACACCATAAAAGGTTATTAAAACTTAATCTAACCTAACCAAACATAACCAAACCAAACCTAACCAAACCAAACCTTACCTAACCAAACCAAAACAAACCTAACCAAACCAAACCTAACCAAACCAAACCTAACCAAACCAAACCAAACCTAACCAAACCAAACCAAACCAAACCAAACCAAACCTAACCAAACCAAACCAAACCAAACCTAACCAAACGAAACCTAACCTAACCAAACCAAACCAAACCTAACCAAACCAAACCTAACCTAACCAAACCAAACGAAACCAAACCTAACCAAACCTAACCTAACCAAACCAAACCAAACCTAACCTTACCCAAACTGTGATCGGGTTAAGATATACACAATAGTTGCTCATCATGGGAAAACTAGGAAACTTTTGTCAAGGTAGAGTTGGAGGAAAGTTGTTTACCTATTTCCCTATTCTTAACATCTGTAAGGCTAAGGCAATGCTATATAGTCCGTTTTATCGAGGTTTCTTAGATAAGAGACCTCCTTAAACGGACTATATTATACCTGTTACATTAATATCCGTTAATTGAGGTTTTATTGCACATACATACATACATACATACATACATACATACATACATACACACATACACACATACATACGGCATACATATATACATACATACACACATACATACATACATACATACATACACACATACATACATACACACATACATACACACATGCATACATACATACATACATACATACATACACACATGTACATACACACATACATACATATACATACATACATACATACATACATACATACATACATACATACACACATACACACATACATACATTGAAGTTGATAAATATAATGACGGAAAGGTAGACAGGGACGAATAAACGTATATGTATAAGGTGATACATAAATACATACATAATTATACATTAATGGGCAATCATGTATAAGTTGTTGAGAATATGGAAATGAAACACACATTCAGACATACATAAACACAGACAAACAAACACATAACGTAAGAATGGAGGAAACTGCAGTGTACCTATTGGCCCATACTAGGTAGCCCCACCATACTAGGTAGCCCCACCATACTAGGTAGCCCCACCATACTAGGTAGCCCCACCATACTAGGTAGCCCCATTTACACCCAACCCCTATTGCTCATATATCCACCCAACCTATGTTTGAAGCTATCCAGCGTATTCGAGTTAATGATGATATTTGGTAACTTGTTCCATTCATCCACTACTCTGTTTCCAAACCAGTGTTGACCTATTTCGCGCCTAAATCTAAATTTGTCTAATTTAAAACCATTGTTACGAGTTCGCTCCTAGTTGGATAATAAAGTAACAAGTTAGCCGTGAACACAGAGTCCCGCCCAGGTTAGTGACTCTTGAGGGATGAGTAATATAATTAGTTATTTTCTTGATTAATTAATTTATTTTCTTGATTAATTTACTTATTTTCTTGATTAATTAATTTATTTTCTTGATTAATTTACTTATTTTCTTGATTAATTTACTTATTTTCTTGATTAATTTACTTATTTTCTTGATTAATTTACTTATTTTCTTGATTAATTTATTTTCTTGATTAATTTACTTATTTTCTTGATTAATTTACTTATTTTCTTGATTAATTAATTTATTTTATTTATAGATTTTGATAAAGTAAGCTGCTTAAATTCTAATCTTATTTTAAAGGCTATTAAACCTAGTACTAATCAGAGTTACAGATGACCAGATTGGGGCCTATCAGAACTGGGATTAACTCAGGGGATTGGGATTAGGATGGAATCTCTTAGGATTGAGTGGCTAGATTTGGGCCTATCAGAACTGGGATTAACTAAGGGGATTGGGATTAGGATGGGATGTCTTAGGATTGAGTGGCTAGATTGGGGCCTATCAGAACTGGGATTAACTCAGGGGATTGGGATTAGGATGGGTAATTTTAACATCTCTTACATCAAAGCAGGCCAGACCTTTGATGTGGGGGAGTTATTATACGGTGTGCTGCAGGTGTGTATTAGTCAAG